ACAAATTAGCAGTGACATGATTCAAGTAATCTATTCTTTCATGCCGTTCATTATTCGACACCTCAGAATTGCATGGAAGATCCGTATGAAAGGACCAAATGTTTCATGCAAACTGAAGAATCGCTTTTGGTGCCACTATGGTGCAATGCCCTCTTCATCGTTGTCCAAAGTCGTGTTGGACCATATAATACGCAAATATATGACATGAGCGTTGTCCCAAATTTCAACAGGGGACTGACCATCAGTCAGCGACGCAGATAAGGCTACCTGGGGATGTTTCTATTAAACGGTAAGCACGCAGATAAAATCTTGCTGCTGAGCAACTTTGCACCAGTTCAATACTGACATTCACCGAAAACACTTAATCCACAGCTGTCACAAGGCAACGCCGAAAAGGCGGCCGTCAGCAGCCAACAGGTACTGTAAAATAGTGTTGCAATAGTAAAAGTAGAACGTTTCAGTTGCCCTAGCAGTCTTGAGTAGTTTTAACGGAGCGGAACCTGAGGCACGGCCGACGCCTAGGACTGGCAACAATTAATTTCGAAAAGGTGCATGAAACATGAAAAGGTCAACTATAACAAACAATATGAAGATCAAGCCTGGAAGCAATTGTATTTGCGATGCCAATATAGGTCTGGTACTACGTGGTATTGAAATGCCATAAATCTCCTCTCGAAAGCTTATAACAGTACTTTGTGCGATGAGTCCGCAACGTGCAATGACATCACATGATCGCGAACGGAAAGGAGCTGACTACGACAGTCTGCGAAGACCATCACAAAAGAAATCAGAGACCGGAAAAAGTGGTGGCCCAGCAGAAGAACGTAAAGGCTTTCGAAACTTTTCTCATGTGGACACCGTCCACTAGCAAAGATGCGTCGGAGCATTATACAAAGCCTGGCACTCTGATTGAGCAGATATGCCTGCAACGAAGAGCTTGACTTTTGTCTGAGCCATGAGCGCTGCTAATATCTTTCTGAACTACAATTTCTGTGCTCAGACATCAAACATA